CATTATGCTGAGTGAAATAGGCCAGGCATTGAAAGACAAATAACATATGATCTCACCTTTAACAGGAAGCTAAACAACAAAACAAACAAGCAAGCAAAATAAAAACAAAGACACTAAAATAGAGAACAAGTGGGCAGCGACCAGAGGGGAGAGAGAAGGGAATTTAAGGGGAAAAATAGGGAGGGATTTTGAGGAACAAGTATGAAAGACACAGGGGACTTCCGCCAAGATGGAGGTATAGGTGGATGTGCCGTGCCTTCTCACACAACCAAGTTTAGGGACAACTAAATATTAGCATCAGAAAACACAACCAGAACACGGAAAATTGAACTTTTCGGACGTCCGTTAACAACAAATTCTTCAGCCCGACCGGTAAGGGGCGAAACCGGCGTCTGGTGAGGGGTTGCAAAGGAGGACTCTGGTCGGACCCGGGCGCAGAATCCAGACGCGCGAATCCAGACGCACGGGTTCCAAACGCAGGATTGGACCTAGTGAGCGACCGAGCAACCCACCGGGTGAGCGACTGCAGAGGAGACAGTGGGGAGGCGGTGCTGCGTGTTGACTGCGGTTGCCTATCTGCGGGCGAGCGGACAGGCGAGGGAGTGGGCGGTTGGACGGGCCACAGCGATAGAGGGCGCCGCCATTTCCCCGCTCTGACCACGCCCCCACATACAGCGTCACAACCCAGCGACCTGGGAGTCCAAGGCACCGCTTCTCACATTTAAAGGGCCAGAACAGACCAAAAATGTCGCAGGAAGACCTCAAAGCCCCAGAGATAAATCTAAGCGACGAAGAAATAGCAAAACTCTCAGACGCACAGTTTAAAACACTGGTCATCAGGATCCTCACAGAACTGGTTGATTATAGCCACAAATTAGAGAAACATATGAAGGCTAAACTAATGGAAATGAATGGAATTCCACAGGAAACCCATAGCGATGAAAAGGAAACTGGGACTCAAATCAGTGGAGTGGACCAGAAGAAAGCAAATAATGGCCAAACAGAAAAGAGTCAAGAAGCAAGAATTCAAAGAAATGAGGAGAGTCTTAGGAACCTCCAGGACATCTTTAAACGCTCCAATATCCGAATTATAGGGGTACCAGAAGGGGGAAAGGCACAGCCACCAGTGGAAAACTTATTTGAACAAATAATAAAAGAAAATTTCCCCAATCTGGCAAAGGAAATAGACTTCCAAGAAATCCAAGAAGCTCAGAGAGTACCAAAAAAGTTGGACTCAAGAAGAAACACACCAAGGCACATCATAATTACATTAGCCAATATTAAAATGAAGGAGAGAATCCTAGAAGCAGCAAGAGCTAAGGGGACAATCACCTACAAAGGAGTCCCCATCAGACTGTCAGCAGATTTCTCAAAAGAGACCTTACAGGCAAGAAGGGGCTGGAAAGAAATATTCCAAGTCATGAAATCTAAAGACCTACAACCAAGATTGCTCTATCCAGCAAAACTTTCATTTAGAATGGAAGGACAGATAAGGTGCTTCTCAGATAAGATCAAATTCAAGGAGTTCATCATCACCAAGCCCTTATTATATGAAATGTTAAAGGGACTTATCTAAGAAAAAGAAGTTAAAGAAACATGAACAGTGAAAGGACAGCAAACTCACAGTTATGAACAACCACACCTAAAACGAAAGCAAACTAAAAGGACAGCTAGATCAGGAGTGGAAACATAGAAATGAAGATCTCAAGGAGGGTTAGCAACAGGGGAGTGGGAGGAGGAGATGGGGGGAGAACGTACAGAAAATAAGTAGCATAGACAGTAGATAGAAAATAGATGGGCGGGGGGCAAGAATAGCACGGGAAATATAGAACCTAAAGGACTTGAGACACATGGACATAAACTAAAGGGGGGGTAATGGTGGGGATGGGGGGCAGGGTGGAAGGGAATGAAGGGGGGAATAGAACAACTGTAACAGCATAATCAGTTTAAAAAATAAAATTAAATTAAAAAAAAAAGAAAGACACAGGGATGAGGACTGGGGGGGGGAAATGGGAGGGAGGTGGGGAGACGGGGCAGGGGGGGCTGGGATGGGAGAAATAGACAAAAAACTGTACTTGAAAAATAACTAAAAAAAGACAAAAAAAGATTTTATTTACTTATTCTTAGAGAGAGGGGAAGGGAGGGAGGAAGAGAAGGAGAGAAATATCTACGTGAGAGACAAAGGTTGCCTCTCGCGCGCCCCCAACTGGGGACCTGGCCTGGAACCCAGACTGGGAATGGAACCGCCGACCTTTCCATTTGCAGGTTGACGGCCGGTCCACCGAGCTACGCCAGCCAGGGCCGCCTCTCCGCCTGGAGCAGGCCCTTGGAGGGCTGCTCGTCTTCTCGTTTTTTTCTCGGGGAATCCTGAAGCATTTCTGCCCGGCTGCTTCCCAAGAGCCAGGCACCGACTCTCCCCAGCCCCTGAGAGACCCGGCCCTGTCTCGGGGACACAGACCGGGGTCATCAGAATGGCCTGGATTTTTCTCCCTCTCGAGCTTTCCCCGGTGGCCTCAGGCGAGTCACTGAGCCTTTGAGTGTCACGTTCCTCATCCACAGAATGAGATGATGGTCGTGTTAATACTGCATGTTCGTAATCGCTTATCTCCTCTTCTGAAAGCCAAAAACTTGAAAGCTTTGCATCAAAACTCCCCCTCCCTCCCCCAAATAAACAGACAAACGCTGGCAGGCATGATGTGGTCTGCTGTGAGGCTGCGTACAGTCTTCATTTATTTCCCCGAATGTCAAGATCCCACAATTCCCTGCAGAATTCTAATGAGTTTTATTATGGGAGCTGCCCAAACCTCCCTGGTGGGGTGGGGGAGAATCACGCAATGTAAGAGACAGTCACTCTATCATTTTGCCAACATCCAGAATTCTGAGCCACATCTGACACAAGAATTTCCGGTAAGGAGTTGTGAACCCACAGCGCCACCTCTGGCGTTAAGAAGATCTACGGAATTAACGGCTCTGCTGGGGGTGGGGGTGGGGGTGGGGTGGGGTGGGGTGGGGTCACCTCTCAGAAATAAGACAGGGGGTGGACCCTGGAATTCACAGATGTGATTACCCACCTGCAGAAATACACTGGGGGTCTCCAGCGTTACAGTTTGGTTTGCGAGCTGGCACTCAGTCCGCCGAGCCACACCAACCAGGGCTCAGTGTTACAATTTGATAGGTAAGAAGCTGAACACGCACGCAGAAGTTACATTTTTGAAAAGAAAATCAGTTCAAACCTTTGCAGATCCCTTTGCAGAAGATGAACGTTTGCAAATTCGCAGGTAAGACACCGGAACCAGAGCCCTGCCTACCTACGCACAGGCATTTGGATTTAATGTCAATGAAGTTTTTTTTTCTTTTCTTTTTTGTTCTTTATCATGAGAGGGGACTTGGAGTCTCAGGCTGCATGCTGTTAATGGATAACTCTTGAACGTGACCTCCTAGTTATTTACCTCCCTGTGGCCCATTCCCTGGAAATCTAGACTTTGGTTCTTTAGGGTGGAGTGTGCCCCTCCCTGCAAGTCAGAGCTTCTGGGGTTTAATTTGGGGAGAAACCTACCCTCTTCTCAGGGCCAGTGAAAGCGGAAGTGCCCCTTCACCCCTCCCCCACTGACCAGCCCTACAAGGGAGACCCGGCGTGCAGAGAACAGCGACAGCCGCTTAGTCACACACAGGGCAGTGAAGTCCGCGGACAAGGCGACAAGGCGAGCAGGCAGGCACGGTTTCTGCTCGTCCTGTGCAAACCAGGGTGGCCCACTCCAGGCAAGTCCGTACCAGAGGTGTGTCCAAAATACGTCCTTTGAAAAGACGAAAAAACGACTCTAGACTTTGCAATGGTAGGAATTCCAGCCAGCCACAAAGCTAGAAAGAGGGGATCCATGCCTCCGTCCCTACAGGGCACACCCAGCAAGAAGTCCTGTCCCCAACATCAGGCAGGCCACGGGGGGGGGGGGGGGGAGGGTGGCAACGGGGTTGGTGGCCTTCCTCCCGAGCCTGCCCCCTGCCACGTTCTTCCCGCCTGGCTTGTCCTCAACCCTGTTAGAAGGCCTTTTGCAGAACTTTGCTGTGCGGGACCGGGTTTCTCTCCTGCCGCTTCCCAGCTGATACCTGAAGACGTGGGGTGGGCCGGGGAGGGCACTCGGTCTCTGCCTGCGTCTGCGGGTTGCCGCGTCTGCGGGTTGCCGCGTCTGCAGGTTGTCAGCCATTGTTTGCGGGTTTCTGAGATCCTTCCTCACTGGAAAGTTATCTTCACCCACTCAAACAGCGCCCACCCACCCATGTACTCCGGTGTCAGTCCCACGGCCACTCAGATATCACCCACTCGAACACCTATATGACACACGCTCAGACAGTACCCACGCGCACTCGTGTTCCAGGAATGCAGATGCCGCCTGCACCTAGTCAGCTATTTAACAGGAGCGCCCTGGGGGCACGGTTTGGGTCTGTTTTGCTCCCTGCTGTGTCTCTGGCGCCTGGAACAGCGCCGGATACACTGAGGACACTCAGGAAATATTTGTTGAATGAATAAACGACCCACACTCGACCATACACTACCGGCACCTGCCCAACCGGCGCCCACGCCCGCTCAGATGTGCCCGAGGAACTCAAACGTCACCCACTTAACTGTGCGTGTGATGAAGGCAGGACTCGTTTCCTCCCGTGTCCTTAGCTCCGAGAGCGGTGCCCCGGCCGTGGTAGGTGTGCAATAAGTGTGTGCAGGACCAATGAGTGAGCGCCCCACGCCCCACTGGGCGTTCACCACACCCCCTCCGATGTTGCCCACAGGTTGACCCCGATGCCAACGCCGCCTGCACGCGCTAGGCCGAGGTCACCCTGCTCACTCCGACGGTGACCGTTCTCACTAGGTTTTCCACTCACTCCGGCAGAAGGCCCCCACGGCCCCCACCCACTTGCACTCTCCAAACTCGCTCAGATGGAGCCCATGCCCCCCACACACAGGCGTCACGCACACCCACTCGTCTGCCCCCCGCGCCCACCCCGCATCACCTCAGCTTCTTGTGGTACGCGTGGTACCCTCGGCGGTTTTTTTGGGCTTGCGCCTGCCCCTCTGGCTGTCTCCAGCCCCCCTATCCTTCTGCGCGGAGTCCAGGGGCCGCACGGCGTCCAGCCGGGCAGAGGCCCCAGCTCGGGACGTGTCCCCGGGCCCGGGCGCACAGCACTTTCTGGCGGGCAGCTCTCGGGGGCCCGTCCCGGTCGGGCCGAGCTCCTGCCTCAGGACCCGGGCCACGTCCTCCACTGTCCGGCCCTTGCTCTGCAAGAAGAGGTTCAGCTTGGTCAGGAATTTGACGTCCTGCTTCCACGGCAGGCAGACCACTCTCCACAGGCCGCCCTTGCCCTGGACCTCCCTGGGAATGGCGGAGTAATCGATGTCCTCTGTCAGACTAATGATGGCCGTCTTGGATCTGTCCTCCTCCAGAAAGGCCTTTCCGGCCACTGCGAACTTGCCCAGGGGCTCCTGGGGACCCTGAGGATCTCTTCGAATACCTCGTGGTCGCAGTCCTCTGGGGTCCTAGGACCATCAGGCACCTGTAACTATCCATCTCCAGGGCCCGGCACCCGCGCTCCAGCAGCGCGATGTCTGTCGCCCCGAACAGCCTTTGCCCAGCTCTCGGAGGCAGCAGTGTGCCCGCTGGTGCCCGCTGGTGCCGCCTCGGGGCTCCGTGCACCGGCCCAGGGTGCCATGATCCCTTCCCAAAGGCCGTGAGCACGAGAAAGATGGACCTCGCAGGCCCAGTGTGTCCACCTCTGTCAAGGGTTCCGCGTGCGCTGCCCGCTGAGGTGCCCGGTGTTCGGTCCCCGGTGACGACCCCCGGGAGCGGCCTCGTGGGAATTCCCAGGGGCTCGGGCCACGGGAAGCAGAGGCGGGCGTCTGGCCGCTGGCTCCTGCCTCCTGGGCACGGCGCAAGGGGCAGGGTCTGGAGGTGGGGCGCGCGCTTCCTGGGCGGTGGCCCCCAAAGGTCTCAGCAGATCTCGGGCCGAGCTCCCTGGGGCCGTGGCCACCGAGGCGTCGCGGGTGGAGGCTTGGCCGGTTCCTCGCAGCTGACCCGCAGGCTGGCCCGGGTGCCCTGGAACCAGGCTGAGAGCGAAATGTGACTGCTACCCCTGCTCCCGCAGTGACGTCACCGCCTCCTTCCGCTCCAAGTCCCAGAGGTCTCCATGGCAACCACCAGAGGATCGTTTCAGCCATTGGCCAGGCCCAGCCGCATTGCAGGCGGAGTCCATCAGATCTGAGGGGGTCTTGCAGAGATGAGGGGTCAGCCACCAGCTTTCAGAAGGACCCTCTTCCTTTATCCGTGGGGGAAAGGGCTGATTCCAGAGGAGAGGGGACAGGGGAGATACAAAACGGGCCTGAAATATCTTCTTGGGTCAGAAAGTAGGGAAATGCTCAAAGAATCATGAGAACAGGTGGAAAGACACTGGGTTCGCTTGAAGGGCTCCCGCTGAACAAGTCTGAGACACTCGGAGCATTGACGTTTCAGTTGGGGATAACATAACGCTTTTCTTTTTTTTTTTAAGATTTTATTTATTTACCTTTAGAGGGGAAGGGAAGGAGCGAGGGAGAGAAACATCAATGTATGGTTGCCTTTTGTGCGTCCCCTGCCGGGAACTAGCCTGCAGGGAACTGGCCTGCAACCCGGTATGTGCCCTGACTGGGAATCGAACCGCGATTGTCTGGTTCGCAGGCCCGTGCTCAATCCACTGAGCTACACCAGCCAGGACATAACGCTTTTCGATAAAGTCAGTGTCCATGAGTCCATGTGGCTGGCTATAAGTAAATGGACAAATGCAACATTTGACGGAGGCATGTGGGGTTTTATGTTACCTCCTAGGCAACTTATGACCCAAAAAGAACAAAAGTATCTTTACGGTGGAATGCCCTTGTTTGTAGGACACACCCACTGTGGTATTCAAGAATAATATCCAGAATGACCCACCGGATTGGCAATTCACCCTCAAAATGGATTCAGAGAGAAAATAAGTTCTTTGCAACTTTCTTATAAGTTTGTGATTATTTTAACAAATATTTTAATTAAAAAGAAATGTCTTGTCCTGGCTGGTATTGCTCAATCAGCTGGAGCATCGTCCTGCAGACCGAAAGTTTGCAGGCTCGATTCCCGGGCAGGACACATGTTTAGATTGTGGGTTAGGTTCCAGGCTGGGGCTCATTCGAGAAGCAACTGACTGATGTTTCTCTCCCTCCCTCTCTCCTTCCTTTCCTCTCTCTCTAACACCAATAAGCATAAAATCCTGGGTGAGGATTTAACAAATATAGTCCTGTGTATGTGGCCACCTTTACAATGTCTATTCCTCCCCTCCTTATACCAGTAATAAAAGCCATAAGGTTTGGGTCCAACAGTCTCCAGATCCCTAGCTCCAGAGATGAATGACTCAAATTCACCCTCCTGACCCTTCCCCTTCACCACTTCTGAGCCACTCCCCCATCATTCCTGAATGACTGGCTCAGAAACGGTCACCCAGGTCACCAGGGCCTAAGCCAATTGGAGCCTTGTATCTCCCTAGTTAAGAGATGGGTCAGGAGCTGGACTGTGAACTCAGTGTAATTAGCATAAAGCTCAAGGAGAGGAGGAAAAAAAAAACCCAGGAATGAATTGCAGAACTTTTGTGACTAGTTATGAGGAAGACACCTGTCTGGGAATCACGAGAGCACCTGCTTTCAGGATGGACTCTGCATCCCGAGGTCGAGCTCAGGGAGCCATTGGGAAACCATGGCCTCATCCTGATGCCGCCATGGACGTCCCAGCAAACTATCCCTGGCACTCTACCTCTGAAGCTTTATTTTTTTTAAATATTTTATTTATTTATTTTTAGGCAGAGGGGAAGGGAGGGAGAAAGAGAAGAAGAGAAACATCAAAGTGTGGTCGCCTCTTGCGCACCCCCTACTGGGGACCTGGCCCACAACCTAGGCGTGTGCTGTGACTGGGAATCAAACCAGCGACCCTTTGGTTCTCAAGCAGGTGCTCAATCCACTAAGCCACACCAGCCAGGGCTGAATCTTCATTTAAAAAAAACAAAAACGTTTTAATTCAAATGCAACATACATAATAAAGAGAGCACAAAATATAAAAGTGAATGGCAAAGCCACACTTCCTTCCTCAGCATCCTGACTCCTGGGCCCAAACATTTGAACTGCTACAATGCCATTCACCGAGAAGAAGGTGCCTTAGTGTGTCGCCTAGCTTAGCTCCTGTTCTCTCGCTCCATTGCTGTGTGACCTTTGGCAGGCTAATTTCCCTCTCTGGGCGGTGCGGTGATTTTGTCTTGTCTAACGTAGCTAAGTTGGGCCTGTGTATTCTAGAATACCTTTCCCCAGGCGGCCCTGGCTGGGAGTTGGCTAAAAGAGAAATTCGCATGAGACTCAGAGGCAGGTGTGAAGAAGCCACCATTACGGCGGGAAGCTCTGCACAGGGCCCAGGTGCTGCAAAGGCTCATGGGTGTTGTCACCACCCCGCCGGCCTCCTTGCTGGCTTGGGGCAGCACCGGGCTTCAGCCCCACCTGCACCTGCCGGCTGTTTTCTTCTGACTTCCATAACTTTGGGGCCAGGAACCTGGGAAGCTCCATGGGGAGAGATGCCAGCTTCTCCTGGGGGTCGCACATGGAGCTGAGGTTAGAGGTGTCAAGAGACACACGGGGCACCCAGGCTGCTCTTGTAGGTTCCAGTTTCCCACCTACCCAGCCAACTGGCCAGAGACCTAGGACCCAGAACCAGTTCCAGAGGCACTGACCCCCCCAGAGAATTTTGCACCCGCAATCCTCTGCTCCCTGGGTCGTAACTTTTCTGGTGTCCCCCCCACCCCTTTCCAGCTACGATCGCCGAAGGTCCTGTCCCTGTAACAAGTTCCTGACCCGTGCCACTCACAGGGGGCCTGTTTCTCTGCTGAGTACCAGCCATCCCTTATTAAATGACAGCGAGAAGGAACGTGTGCCCTCTCACCTATGGGTTTTAGAAGCCAGCTCTTTGATGGCGATTTCTCTGAAGTCTTTACTATGGCATTAAGAAGTCACGTGCGTGCTCCATTACCTAACAGTGTCCCTTTTCATGCAGAGATGATTTTCCTTGAAAAAGTGAGGAAACTTGGCAATCAAACTATCTGCCACAGGGGGCCCTGGCCCAGTGGCTCGCTGAGTTGCAACATTGTCCCGTACACCAAAAGGGGGCGTCTTTGATCCCTGGTCAGGGCACATGCCTGCGTTATGGGTTTGATCCCTGTCAGGGTGTGTACGGGAGGCAACCAATCAATGTTTATTTCTGACATTTCACGCTGATGTTCTTTTCTTTCTCTCTCTCTCTCTACCCCACCTCACCCTCCTCTCTCTGAAAACTTAATGAACATATCCTTGGGTGAGAATTAAATATATATATATATGAGTAAATTTATGAGTAAATAAATCTAAACATATATATATGAGTAAATTTATGAGTAAATTTACTCATATATATATGAGTAAATATATGTGTGTATATGTATATATATGTATATATACACACACACACATATATATATGAATATGTATATTTGCCACGGGGAATATAAACTGGTACAGCCACTGTGGAAAATGACACGGAGGCTCTTTAAAAAATTAAAAACAGAACTCCCCTATGATTCAACAATTCCAATTTTGGGGATTTATCTGAAGGAAGGAAACAATGATTTGAGAAGATATATATATATATATCCCTGTGTTCATGGTAGCATTATTTACAATAGCTAAGACATGGCCACCACCTCGGTGCCCATCGATGGGTGAGTGGAAAAAACAAGTGGTATGTCTGTGCAATGGAATATTATTCAGCAACAAAAGAGAAATAAGTCTTGCCATTTGGAACAACACAAATAGCTCTTGAGGGCATTCTACTCAGCAAAACAAGACAGGCAGAGAGAGGTGAATACCACACAGGCTCACTTGCGTGTGCAACCTTTCTCTCAAAGCCCAAACTCATACACACAGAGAACGGGCTGGCAGCTGCCAGAGGCGGGGCAGGAGTGGGCGAGATAAACACGGGTGGTGAAAAGATGCCACCTTCCAGTTACACGTAAACAGGTGCTGGGAATTCGATGCGCGGTACAGCTACAAGAGCTAATAGTGTTGCATTGCACGTTTGAAGGTTGCTAAGAGAGTAGATCTTCAAAGCTCCATCACAAGGAAAAAAAACCTTTGCAGATAAGGGTGGTGATGAATGTTCTAAAAGCTTGCCAGGGGTTTCCGACGCCCTGGGGCTCCGTGGCACACATCTGGGCTAGTGCACATTCCAAACGGAGAAGCAGGCGACAGAACAGTGTGTTTATTTGACCCACCGCTCTCCACCGAGATGGTTTCTTGCTCCAGGCTCCGGGCGATGTGCTGGACAGATCCGAGGGAGTGAGACAGGCCCCGCTTTCACGGGCTCGGTCCAGCGGTGGCGGCAGGCTGGGCTGGCCTGTTTACAGGCCGGGAGGGAAGCCCTGGAATTATCGCCAAGGTGTGTTCTCATCCTTGCCATGGGGCTTGCAACACAGAATATGCTAATTGGGATGTGTTTTGCCAAAGTTTTTAAATATATATTTTATTTATTTATTTATTTATTTTTAGAGACAGGATAAGGGAGGGAGGGAAACATCAACATGCAAGACATACATGGATTTCTTGCCTCTCGAGTGCCCCCTACAGGGGACCTGGCCCACAACCCAGGCATGTGCCCTGACTGGGAATCAAACCAATGACCTTTTGATTTGCAGGCTGGCACTCAGTCCCCTGAGCCACACCAGCCAGGGCCTGTTTTGCCAGAGTTGAAACAGATAACTACATAAAGTGCTTTGGGGGCTCTGAGCATCTGATCCCATCTGGCCTCACCAAGGTAGACTTCCTGGAGGAGGTGACACTGGAAGAGATCTTAAAGGAAAGTTATATAATAGCCATGATTTTAGAGAAAGAGTAACGTTGACATGAGAGAAACATCAGTCAGTAGCCTCCCGGTTGCTACCTGGCCAGGGATTGAACCTGTAACTTAGGTATGTGCCCCTGACCAGGAATCGAACCAGCAACCTTTTGGTGTACAAAACGACGCTCCAATCCCCCGAGCCACCCAGCCAGGGCCGTAGTTCTGTTTTGAAAAGCAGGCATTGCATCACTTATATAGGGCATGTTACACGCCAGGCAATATTTCAAGCTCTACATCCACACTAAGTCATGTGATTCTCATAACACGCCATGAATCAGATATTACTGTACTGATTCAGTTGCTTATTCACTCAACAAACATTTACAGAGCAGCTCCTGGATTTCATAGCCAGGAATACTGAGGACCAGAGAGATTAAAGCACTTACCTAGAGCCACACAGCTAGCAAGTTCTTAAATTTTTTGTTTAATATTTCTGTGATTTTCTGCTCATATCTTTTACCCAATTTTTAAAAACTGGGGGTGCTGTTGGTTTTTTGCTGAGAAGTAAGAAACTTTATGGATGAGCCCTGGCTGGCGTGGCTCAGTGGATTGAGCGCCAGCCTGGGAACCAAAGGGTCGCTGGTTCCATTCCCAATCAGGGCACGTGCATGGGTCGTGAGCCAGATCCCCAGTAGGGGGCGTGTGAGAGGCAACCACACACTGATGTTTCTCTCCTTCTCTTTCTCCTTCCCTTCCACTCTAAAAATGAGTAAATGAAATCTTTTTTTTAAAGCTTTACAAATGAAAGAAAGTAGCATACTATCTGCACTGTGCATTATAATTGCGTTCATCATCAGCTGGGTCTGGAGACGCAGCAATGAACACGACAAACAAACTCTGCTGCCCCCTGAGAGCCGCCCCTCTGTTGGGCAGGCAGAGCAGATGCCAGTGAGTGAGAAAGACATGCAATACATTACATGGTGCTAGTGAGTGGTTACAGGGAAAATAAAGCAGGAAAGGCGAATAGAGAAACCGGGTGCCCATGGGGTTGTGGTCCTCCACAGGGTCCTGAGGGAGAGCCCTACGGAGGTGACGTTTGAGCGAGACTAGGCAGAGATGAGGGAGCGACCGTGTGAATACCCAAAACAGTGTCCGGAGCAAAAGGAGCAGCCAGTGCAAAGGCCCTGAGGCTGGAGCCTGCCTGGTGTGTTTGAGGAACAGAAAATGCTGGTGTGACTCGGGGCAGAGGGGCTGAGGGGGAGTTAAGAAGAAAGTTGGAGAAACCGTGGGTGGGGGGACAGGGGAGGTTATTGCCAGGTCTTGAAGCACTTTGGGCCCATGGCAGGGACTTGGGACTTTTGTCTGGCTGGGATGGGACCCACAGGGTGGGGAGGTTTAATGGGGTAACTGAAGGCCAGCAAGTATAGGAGTTTGCAAGTCAGGTAATAGTGCTGTAGTTGGGGAAAAATACATATATTTTTTAAATATTTTATTCATTTATTTTTAGAGAGAGGAAGGGAAAGGGAAGAGAGGGAGAGAAACATCAACGTGTAGTTACCTCTGTGTATCCCCTACTTGGGGCCTGGCCCACAACCCAGGCATGTGCCCCGACTGGGAATCAAACTGGTGACCCCCTGATTCACACGCCGGCACTCAAGCCACTGAGCCACCCCAGCCAGGGCAGAAAATAGCTTTCTTCACTTTTACAATACTTTCTAGATTTAGAAATTAATGAATGAGATTTCCACACAGTGACAGGGACAGAGCTCAGACACAAAACGCCAAAGGAAAAGGGTAAGACACAGTGAGATTTGCAGCAGAACTGGCAAGGTCTATTTCAAAAATATGTAAAAGTTCGGCCTCAGCTTTCGGGTTCAGTGTTTAGAGAGCCAAGCAGCCATCTCTGCCTCCCTGAACACAATGGCTTCAGAGATGCTGGGGTTGCCTAGTGACCATTTGCCCAATCCCATCGCTGGATTTTTATAACTGTGTTCTTGCTGTAACTAGAAGCAAAAAAACCTCTTTATGTTGTTATATGTTGAAATGTTTTACAGTTGAAATATAAAAGAATAATTTACACTTCAAGAGTAAATTGTTGAAATAATAATTATTGTGGAAGCTGCTGATTTTGTGACCAAAATAACTACTAAAGGCTTACATGTGCAAGTATTAAAGAAGTAGTGTTAATGTTAAGAAGAGCATTATACACTTTCAAGCCAACCAAAGCTGAAATTAATTTTTTAAATAATAAAATAATGGGACTTCTGGGGAAGATGGAGGTGCAGGTAGATACACTGTGCCTCTTGGCACAACCAAAATAAGGACAACAACAAATTTAAAAACAAAAAACAACCAGAACTTACAGAAAATTGAACTGTATGGAAGTCTGACAACCAAGGAGTTGAAGAAACATTTACCCAGACTGGTAGGAGGGGCCGAGACAGGCAGCCGGGTCCGAGAGAACTTGAGGTGAGGTGGTGGCTGGTGGACCAGGGGGTCCCACATTTCCGTGTAGTTAAACTGACAGACCTTGCAACCCAGGGTCCCAGCAGGGAAATAAAGCCTCAAAACCTCTGACTGAAAACACCTGTGGGGGTTGCAGGAGGAAGCGGGGAGCAACTCCCAGCCTCACAGGAGTTTGTTGGAGAGACCCACAGGGTTCTAGAACATATACAAACTCACCCACTTGGGACTCAGCCCCAGAAGAGCCCAATTTGCTTGTGGGTGCGGAGGAAGT